CTCCAATTAACGAGCTGAGGATAGATAGCACGGAAACAACCAACAGAAATAAACGGGGCATTATAATATACGCAAAGCATAGTATTGCTTGCTCTATAGAATCAAAGGCTGTAAAGAAAATTTATTCAGGCCGCAAAGTTTTAGAAGCGGTTTTGTTTAAATGTTTCAATATTAATATTCTGGTTCTATATAGAAATTCAGCTTTCTCTGTCAGACAATTAATTGTAGAACTTCAGGAAGTCCTTACTTCTGAGTTAGCCAATCAAAATGTGCTAATTGTTGGAGATTTTAACATATGTTTAATGTCTACAGAGACTGCAATAAGAACTCTGCTTCAACAAAAAAACTTTAGTTCCCTGCTTGGTGCAGAATATTCAACTACACCTACCGGTACTCAAATTGATTGGGCATTTTAAAACATGGATCCTTCCCGTGTAAATGCAATTATTTTTGAGACAGTACACAGCAATCATGACAGTATTTGTGTCTCTATTTTGAACTAAAGCTTTCAGACTTAGCGCGATAGTTCTTCATTTTTTTGTACCAAATATAATCGAATTGGAATGGTATAGGAATTTTGACAGTAGTTTTTAAGACAATTTTAAGAAAAATATGTAAATAATCTAATTAAGAAAATTTAAATTATACATATAATTTGTTATTATATATGACATTATTGTATAAATATATGATAGAAATTAAATTGTATAAGGAAAAAAGAAATGTAATTTGAATATATGTATAAGAATCTCTACAAAAATTTATGTTTAATATTGTAAATATTATATACAAATTAATATAATAATATCATATCATTTTTAAAGTTGTTAATATTTATTATTTTTAAGCTAAACATTTATAATAATATCGATATAATAAATAAAAAATGTTATTCATTGTCCAAAAACGATTTCTTTTCATACTTCTCAATACAGTTGTAATGCATTCTATATAAAATCAATTATAAGCGTACACAAAAGCACAAGAACGATTTCTCAAAATTTGAGTAAATTTAGTTTACAAATTGCTCTAAATATTTTCACTGTGAGTGAAAAGTAAATAACTAAGGCAACAGTTCCTACTTCTAATTATTAAAATATATAATATAAAGAAGTCTCAAACGAATATGCCATTTAACTTTGCGAGAGTATAAAATGTTCGGTTACATCCGAACTTAGCCCTTCCTTACCTGTTTTTAAATTGATTAGGTATTCCAATTAATCGGGTTTGCTGTAATTGAACGAATTGTTGAATTAAACGAGTATCGGTTAATTGATTCCCCGGTTAACTGAACCAATAATTGGGCAACTTTTGATGTGCAACTATCCGGGGAATACTATATATACTACGAACTACTTCGCCACAACCATAACCTATCGCAACTTCCATTGCCAATACAAACTTTCCCATAAATTAAAAAAAAAATCATACGGCGGGATCTACTTGTATGGGCAAGCAGTTATTGGTTAATATATTATATAATACGAATATAATAATCCGAAGATTCGCATTATATTAGGTCAAGTAAAAAAGTTCGTTCGGTTTTTATCTAAGAGATGGCGTTATTGTCCATAGTACTAGTGTTACGTGTCGCATCATGTCATACTATACGGCGCTGAAAACGTGTTTATTCGTGCTAAAAGTTTGTCTTTGACAGTTTTTCGATTGATTTACTCAGTTCGTTGTGAGCGCTCGTCAAAGATGGACACCAACAAAGAGAAAATTCGCTATATTTTACAATTTTTCTTCGATCAAAGCGAAAAAGCAGCCAAAGCGGCTGAAAACATTAATTTAATTTATGGGCCCGATACTGTAAACGAACGTGTAGCACAAAAGTGATTTGCTAGGTTCCGTTCCGGTAATTTCGATGTCAAAGATGCACCACGCGTCGGGAGGCCTGTCGTCGAAAATTGGGATGAAACTCACTGTCTTTGGTGACTCGCCAGAAGCTCCTGGAGCTCGGATGGGGGGTTCTAATGCACCCACCTTATAGTCCGGACCTGGCACTAAGTGATTACCATCTTTTCCTGTCCATGGCGAACGCGCTTAATGGTGAGAAGTTGGCCTCAAGAGAGGCCTGTGAAAATTGGCTCTCCGAGTTTTTTGGCAATAGGGACGCAGTCTTCTACGAGAGGGGTATAATGAAGCTGGCATCTCGTTGGCAACGGTTGGTTTACGAACAAAACGGCGCATATTTGGCTTAAATCGGACAAATGTACACAAAGTTATCATCTTTTGAAAAATCAATAAAAAAAACCGAACGAACTTTTTACTTTACCTAATATAATAATTTGACATATTTATAATCTTGCAATCAGTTACAAATGAGAATAATAAATTTGCTCACTTAGCGGTTGTTTGTAACACATAAAACTTATCGAGATGGATATAGATGACGAGACGAGTTGAATTTCGGGTGACCGTATATCCGTGCCTATGTACGTCTGCAGTTTAAAGTTTGTAAAAAATGGGTGTAGCCCCGTCCCCTCTCAAACCGCTGTAGCTGTATCAACAGTAATTCTGTAAAAAAATATTATTGAAGTTCATAAAATATATTTTAATGGTAATAAGATGCATTTGCGTTGAAAATTATTAAAATCGGGTCAAACCTTGCCCTAACCCCCATATACCTTATATAAGAATTTTCCAACTTCCAGAAATTTTACCGGTCATACTATGAGATACCTTAATATAATTCAGAAGGAATCCTTTGATGGTAATAATGAGCCCTGATATAATAAAATTGGGACAATACTTCTCCTAGCCCCTATATACCTGACAAAGTCACTTTCGACTTTCCAGTTGAAATTAAACCGGTTATTTAGCACAAAATATGTAAAGGTAGGTCGTGGGGTGGACATAACCGATGGTTTTCACTTAAGCAGCTGAGAACTTTTGTCCTTTGCGTTACCAAAAAAGTACGAAAAAGGATCCCTAGATCCTTATAGATCAACAAAGCATTTTGAGCTTCCCACAAATTCGTTACGGCGGGTAACACCAATCCCAACCATTTCGCTAGATTCGTCACTGGTGTGTCAAATTGTCTGGGAAAAGCGCGGAGAAAGTTACAAGATGATTTCTCCTCGCCTTCTATATAGCTATGGTAAAGAGCGTCCGACAAAATATTTAGCCTCGCTGCGTGTGAACTTATTGGACAGTGTTTAGTCAGAACTCCTACAATTGCGGCGGTATTGGCTTTTTAAAGAGTAAGTAGTTCAGACGATTCACTCTATACCAGAAGGATCTCGCTGTCGCACAAGTTCTGGTTGTTGACCAGTTATTGCTGAGGTTCAGAGTTAGAACGCAAGAGGATAACGAAGTACCGACTCATTTTTAATCGTATAAAATTGTGGTAAGGGTGCTCTCCCTATCGATTATGCAAGTATAATATGGAAGAAGCTTGAACGACGCTCCAGTGGTATGGTGATGGAGAGCTAATGACAGAAGGCTCCACCTCCTACTCTCTTTCTTAACTTCACTAATCAAAGAATAGAGCTCTCAACGTAAGGAGAGTAACATCAAGGCTCCATGGTCCACGTAGGCAATCACCTGGAAGCCTCATTCCTCAAGTTCCTTCCATACGTCGTTAACTACTAGGATCCAGAGTAAAGGGAAAAAAACGCCACTTTGCGGGGTGCCCCTTTCAACTTTTCGAAATGCCAATACACTTTCCCACTCCGCCACTACCGTTCAGTCGCAAAGGAGACTATATATGGTATGTTTGAGATTAGTACGTTGTTGATGGCTCCCGCAATATCAATCAAAGACTTTATGTGTAAGGACTCCCTCCGACCATGACATTTCCAAGTGAAAGGCAGATTTAACAATTCCTAAAAGTATTTCCAGCATTTGCTTCTTGACAATTGCGAATGTATAACATGTTCAGTTGCACCCAAACTTAGGAATTTCTTCTTTGTTTTTAGTTAAGTTACGTAGTGGATAAAAATATATTTGAAAATATTTAAACATGATATTTTTGGGTTTATTAACTTGTGTTTCTTTATCTTATATCAATTTTGTAAATAACTCATATTATACTTTTTATCTACAGAAAGCCCGTTTGGCTAGAATAAGAATTGCCAAGGCTTCTTCTGGTGCGGCGTTTGTTAGTAAGAAGAAAGCTGCAGAAGCTCGCTGGGCCGCACAAGAGTCAGGAATTGAATTGGATGATAACTATAGGGATGAGGACATATTCGAACTACAACACCATCATCTTCTGAGATGTCTTGAGAAAACCACTGTAAGTATCATTTATGTTAAAACATATTCCGTGTATTGAAAGTTTAGTTGTAAAGTTATAAAATGAAACATGAGAATGATAACACATATTAGTAACCCTTTCGTAAAACGTAAAACCCATAATATAATTATATTTTGGCAATTCATAAGACAATTGTGAAGAACCAACATTTCACAGGAAAAGTGACAAAAATCGGTCAATATCTTGTATAGGGACATTACCTTCGAACATAGGCTTTTGTCTTGTCAGATATTTTGTCACATTGCAACTTATTAGCAAACTAATTGTGTTTAAGTTTCTATAAATTTTTTAATTCATTTATTTGTATTTCTAAGAGTGAAGATATTTTAATGAAACTTGGTCCACATATTTCACAATGTCATTTAGATCGGCGGAGTCGGACAGGCATCTTTGGTTTGAAAAGTTTCAATTAGTGGGTGTAGGCCCTCCCCCTAATAGGTTTAACTAACATATCTCACAAGCCACTAAAGCTACGTGGCCATTATCTCTGACATTCACATTCCGTCAAATTATTTGATATTATATCCTGAAGAATGTATATAAAGTTTGCCAAGTTTGTAACACCCAGAAGGAAACGTCGGAGACCCTATGAAATATATATATGAACTAGCTGACCCGACAAACGTTGTTTTGCCAACACTATAAGTGAGTGGGGGAAGTATGTACATAACTAATTATAATTGAAATGGGAATGGAGATGAAATATATGAGGTGTAGTAAAAAAGAAATCCAGCAATCGAAACAGTGCTTACATGACGGTCGGACTTAACAATTGGCCTTCCAGTGCGTGGTGCATCTTTGACATCTAAATTACCGGAACGGAATCGACGAAACCAAAATTGCTCAGTATTGGCTGTTACAATATTATTACTATAAACGCTATTCACATCTTCAGCCGCCTGGTTTGCGTTTTCGGCCTTATCGAAGAAAAACTGTAAAATATTGCTATTATCTCTTTGCTAGTGTCTATCTTTGACGTGCGCTCAAACAAAACTGAATCAACCAATCACAAAACTCAGAAAAGTTTTTTTATTACGAAATGTCAACTTTCTAACGCCACCCAGCCGAACCCGATCGGACTTTTACAACGCGAGATACATATACATTTTTTTTACAACATTGCAAGAATTGATAGCTACTTATGTATCGAAAACAGTTCTTTTTTGTACTACTAATTATTTCAATTAATAATAAACAAAGATTAATTTGTCAATGCAATGGAATGTACAATATTTTTGGTCCGTTCGTATTTCGCGAATACAAACAAACTGGACAGATTGCTCACGCCCAAATCTAAGCGACAATGACAATGTTTAGCTTTAGAGGATCGTAGACCGTAGATTCAACCTTCAGTTGTAAATGGTGCGATGACATGCCGGGCAATGAATTCAATAACTCAATTAGATAATTCACAGCTTCGTTGGCATCGCAAACAGCATCAATAGATTTGTATGATACCAAGTCCCTTGGCAACAATTGTTTAAATTTAATCCATAAACATCCACATTTTTTGCTGCCAAACCCGATCTTTCTGCCAGCCACTCAAGATTTTTATATAAGGTTGGCCGTTATTTCTCTTCCGCTTTTTTGCTCTTCATTCAATGCTTTATAAAAAGTGTTAAAGTGATCGGATTTAGTTAAAATATGCGCCGTTTTGTTCGATGATCTGTTTCCATCTAGACGGAAACTTCATAATACCTTCCTCGTAGAAGCCCCCCTCCTTATTTGCGAAGAATTCGGACAGCCACTTTTCACAAGCCTCTTTTGAGTTTAACTTCACACCACCAAGGGCATTCGCCATGGACAGGAACAGGTGGTAATCACTTGGCGCTACGTCCGGGCTATATGGTGGATGCGATAAAACCTCCCATCCGAGCTCCCGTAGCTTCTGACGAGTCATCAACGAAGTGTGTGGTCTGGCGTTGTCCTGGTGGAACACTACACCCTTCCTGTTGGCCAATTCTGGACGCTTCTGGTCGATCGCCTGCTTCAAGCGGTCCAGTTGTTCGCAGTAGATGGTAGAATTAAGCGTCTGGCCATATGGGAGCAGCTCATAGTGGATGATTCCCTTCCAATCCCACCAAACACGCAGCAAAACCTTCCTGGCCGTCAATCCCGGCTTGGCCACTGTTTGGGACGATTCACCGGCCTTCGACTACGACCGTTTTCGCTTGATATTGTCGTATGTGATCCATTTTTCGTTGCCAGTCACCATCCGCTTCAAGAATGGGACGAGTTCGTTCCGTTTCAGCAGCATATCGCAGGCGTTGATTCGGTCCAGAAGGTTTTTTTGCGTCAAATTATGCGGCACCCAAACATTAAACTTTTTTTTGTATCGAGCCTTCTGCAGATGGTTTGGTGACTAACTCCCATCTCCTGGGCGATGTCACGAGATGCCATATGCCGGTCTAACTCGATGTATTCCATGATTTGCTCGGTATTTGTCGTCACAGGACTTCCGCCGGCTGGCTTATCCATGGTGTCGTTTTCACTGGCTCTGAATCGTCGAAACCATTCCTCCGCGGTTCGAAGTGGTAGAGTACCATCCCCCAAAACACCATTAATCTCACGGAACGTTTCTCTAGCGGATTTGCCTTTAACGAAGGAAAACTTTAAAATAGCGCGAATTTCGGCGTTAGTGAACTCCATGTTTACACGTCTATAACTGTTGAACGCAATATCCAAACTAATCATGCATAGCGTTGTTTTGTAGGTTATGTCAAGACCTTTCAAATTATGTATAGTGTTGCCAGATACGAGCTCTGTAGCGCTTTGTACATAGCCGCGAAATTCAAAAGACAAAAAAGCGGAAGGGAAATAACGGCCAACCTTATATTTCGCGTGTACATCTAGAAATATAATGTCGATGAAAGTACTTTGTGAGTTGATCATTGAGCAGAAACCCGTCGTTAATTTTATGCCTCCAGTATTTTCACGTACAGCTAGCTTATTTATTTAATGTAAAGTACAATCGATACAATTAAGTTCTGAATATAACATCATTCAAATGGCCCCTACGACTTCTTTTGGTGGAACGAATTTAATGAATCCAATTATCGACTACTTCTTCCAATCAAGTCGTATGTCATGAATAGCACGTTCAATATTGAGTTCTACAGCTTGAAGAGAGTCTTGTTAGTTGCTAAAGCCTAATGACTATAAATAACCCCACAAGAATTATTCTAATGGTGTTAAATCACAACTCCCCTTGGAGGCCATTCAATGTTACAATTTCTTGAAATTATCGAATCTCCAAATTTTACTCGCAATAATTTGGTTGTTGTACGTGCTGTGGGGCACGTAGGCCCGTCCTGTTGGAGCCAGATGTTGTCAAGATCAACTTCTTCCAATTGCGGCCATAAAAAGATGGTTACCATCGATCCATACCGCTCCCACTAGATTCCACCAGACCAAAAACCACACCAAACTGTCTATTTAGGTGAATTTAAGGGTTGTTCATGAATAATTTGTGGATTTTCTTCGCACCAGAATCAGTTTTGTTTATTTACCGCACCACTCAGATGAAAGTGAGCCTCATCGAAGAAGACGATTTTCTTAAAGAAATCGTTATCGTTTTCAAGTTATTCCAAGGCAAAATCAGCAAATTCACGAAGTTTACGGTGGTCCAATCGCTTAAGTTCTTGAGTGAGAACAATTTTATGCAGATGCAAACCCAAATCCTTTCTCAAAATCCGCCAGGTTGTGGTTTGAGATAGTATTAATTCTTGCGAACGTCTTGTAATTGACAAATTGCGCTCTTCAGCAACGCTTGCTTGAACGGCAGCAATATTTTTATTACTTCTAGCGATTCTTTGTCTTATTGGCAATTGAACATTATGTAAAGAAAATGTACGCTCGATATGTTTAACAATTCGACGAATAGCACAGGTGAACTATTATTACGACCATAAAATGGCAAAAGCGCACGAAAAGTTGCAATTGGAAAACTATTATTTTGATAATAGATAAATAGTTCATTTGTAATCATTGTTCTTGCGTATATCTTTCCATGATGAAATTGTAAACATTGCTGAATATAATTTAAAAAAATTACCGACCATGACATATTAAAAATAGCCGAAACGACATTTAGAAATCATATCATCCCTAATGTACAATAAAACCCGATACTTTTTCAACATTACGCCACAATCACTATAATTTTAAGCAAGCGTTGAAACGTTGAAGTGATAATCCCCAAATGATATTTTTACACTGTTTCAGCACTTTGGCCATGAACGATTGGGTTTTTATGGTGCACATTGTATCTGGATTATGTTGCAGTTTTAATGGAAGCTTAAATGATGAATGCGCTGTTCATCTAATAAAGTTGCTGCAATGCCAGATGATGCAACGGCCAATGCGATGCCATATTTTGATCAAATCTCAGCAAAGAGTAGTGAAATAAGGAATGTTTTGCCAGTTCCACCTGGTGCATCAACCAAAAAAAAAAAAAAAATAACTCTCTTTCCCTGCTAAAAATGCCAGCACAATGCGGTCGTAAATTGTTTTTTGATCATCACTTAGTAGTGGAACATAGAAACAGCAAATATACTGTCCCAATGATTGTCATATTCTAGCAAGCTTAGTGCAAGGCATATATCCTTGTTGGATATTGTTTTCTATTTACTTTACGCATTTCTTGAAATGATAATAGTCTGGTGATATTAACCAACAACAGTCGCAGATAAAAGCACTCATTCTGCCTTGGATTGACTGTATATACGCGACCCAAATTGGTTTGATTCGAGTAACCGGGGCATGCATAAAATAGCGTAATACTTCTGAATAGAGCAGTGTTTGTGTAAAGGCACTAAAAACATTCGCACGGTTGCGCATGTTAAAGTCATTATGATAATAAAATTAAAAAGACTTAATGAGAATAAAATAAGGTGACTTCTTTTCATACATATTCTGTAATGGCGGCGATAACTGATTAGTTGATAGAACTATACATTAATGCTCATGTAGTATACTATAATTACTATTGTGGATAGAACAGAAATAACGGTTACAATCGGAGGTTGATCGTATAAGTGTGAAAATTTAGAATTGTATGTATTGTTTCATGCTGAATCGTGAAAAAATAAATACCAAAAATTTTGTCCAAAAAAAGTATAATATTAGGTAAAGTAAAACGTTCGTTCGGTTTTTTATTGATTTTTCAAAAGATGATAACTTTGTGTACATTTGTCCGATTTAAGTCAAATATGCGCCGTTTTGTTCGTAAACTTAATGCCAACGAGATGCCAACTTCATTATACCTCTCTCCTAGAAGACTGCGTCCCTATTGCCAAAAAACTCGGAGAGCCAATTTTCAAAAAAAGAGAAGAGATCTTCGATTTTATCATCTCTACATTTATTTCTTATTAGCTTAATAAACTCAATTATTATTATTTAATATTAAACAGAAAAAACGCGTATTTCGGTTGCACCGGAAGCTATAATACTCAAGTACAAGGTTCCTTATTAAACTTCATTCAGATCTAAATTTTGTGATCGGCAATAAAAAATAAATTTTTTTCCAAAGGCAAGGGGGAAAAGGGGGGGGAGCACTTTACCGCAAGCAGGCACTAATCGTTAAGTTTATATGATAGCTGTATGACACATAGCGATCCGATCAAACAATTTCTTCGGGATTATGTTGTTACCGTTAAATTATAAAATACATGTTGCCAATTTCGGAAAGATACCTGCGTCAAATGAAAAAAGTTTTTTCATACAAGGAGTTTCTTTACTCGATCGTCAGTTAATATGGCAGTCATATGTTATAGTCATCGATCTGTACAATTTTTTCGGAGCTTGCACTAATGCTTTAAATAATATTCTGTGCCAAATTTCGTGGAGAATACCTCGTGATGAAAGAGTTTCCATACTAGCACTTGATTCCGATTGTTCAGTTTGTATGGCAGCTATATGTTATAGTGGTCCGATATCGCCGTTCCGACAAATGAGCAGCTTCTAGTGAGAAAGGACAGGTGCAAAGTTTTAGATCGATAGCTTAAAATGAGGGACTAGTTTGTATATATACAGACAAACGAACAGACGGACAGACAGACGGACGGACATGGCTAAATCAATGAGCTCATCATACTGATCATTTATGTATATATTTTATAGGGTCTCCGACGTTTCCTTCTGGGTGTTACAACTTCGTGGCAAACTTAATAACTCCGTTTAGGGTATAAAAATAGGCAGCTATTTACGATCTTCTTCAAAAGTATTATTATTATTTCTTTTTTGTTTTAAAATTATAAAAGTAGTAATTTGTTTTTAAATATTTTTATTATAACTTTTTTTAATATATACATAGCAAGTTATATCAAATGTTGGTTTGTTTCAAAACTCCTCTGAAACGGGTAGGTCTGAGAATCGGCCAAACATCCCCAAATATTATATTAGGTCAAGTAAAAAGTTCGTTCGGTTTTTATCTAGAAGATGCGTTATTGTCCATAGTACATCACCATAGCATCATGTCATTCTATACGGCGCTGAAAACGTGTATATTCGCGCTAAAAGTTCCTTTGACAGTTTTTCGATTGCTTTTACCTCAGTTCGTTGTGAGCGCCTCGTCAAAGATGGACACCAAACAAGAGAAAATTCGCTATATTTTACAACTTTTCTTCGATCAAAGCGAAAGCGGCCAAAGCGGCTGAAAACATTATTTAGTTTATGGGACCGATACTGTAAACGAACGTGTAGCACAAAGTGATTTTGCTAGGTTGCGTCGGGAGGCTGTCGTCGAAAATTGCGATAAAATCATGGAAATAGGGAAACAGACCGTCACGTGAGCACTTGTTTAATTGCCTGAGAACTAAAGATAAGCCAGAAACCGTTTGGAACCATTTGCATAACCTTGATTCAAAAGGAGCTCGATGTTTGGGTGTCACACGAACTAACGCAAAAACATGATGGACCGAATTTCCATCTGCAAATCGCTGCAGAATCGCAACAAAATCGACCCGTTTCTGAAGCGGATTGTGACTGGCGATGAAAAATGGGTACTTAGACAACATCGAGCGCAAACGGTCGTGGTCCAAAGCTCGGGGAAGCGGCCCAGATGGTGGCAAGACCTGATTGACGGCCAGGTAGGTTTTGCTGTGTGTTTGGTGGGATAGGCAAGTAATCATCTACTGCGAGCTGCTCCCTATGGCCAAACGCTCAATTCCGGCCCTCTACTGCCAACAACTGAACCGCTGAAGGCAGCACTCATCCATAAGAGGCCATCTTTGATCAACAGAGGCCGAATTGTGTTCCATCAGGACAACGCCAGGCCACACACGTCTTTGGTGACTCGCCAGAGCTCCTGGAGCTCGGATGGGAGGTTCTAATGCACCCACCTTATAGTCCGGACCTGGCACCAAGTGATTACTATCTTTTCCTGTCCATGGCGAACGCGCTATATAGTGAGAAGTTGGCCTCAGAGAGCCTGT